TAAAGAAAAAATTGAGAAAAAATTTAAGGAAGGCCCCTTTACATTTTTGGCGGGTGGGGGGCCCAAATTTATAGTTACCCCTCTGGCTCATTTATAATTTTCAAACGAACACAATATTTTTATATTTTATGTATTTCAAAGAACCAGAATGCTAAATATTTCTACTGCATTGTTTCTATTTTTTTTTTTTACTATTTTTCAATCTACTATATTTTTTTTTTCTGTAGATTTTTTTTTTACTTTTTTTTTGTATTTGGAGTAGTTATCAATTGTTAGAAGAAATTGATATTTGAAGGGGTAGGGTAAGGGAGTTGTAGATTTGTTGTGAAAATTAGAGATTGAATCTATTCCTATAATATGGAAGGAAAAAGGGCTGTACTGAACAACGAAGACGTGAAGAGGGGAGGGGGCGCAAATGAAAAAACCTTTTTAACCATAAAAATCTCACGAAAGTATGGCCTTTTTTTTTTATTTAAAAGCCAAATTTCAGTTTTAATCAACTAAGTCTCAAATTTTCTAAATTACCAACAAAACCGACAGAATGTTGTAAACCTGGAAAGGTGCCCACACCCCGGTATGGCCTTGGCAGGAGAGATTATTTTTGATGTGCGATTATTACTGCGTATACCTATAGGATGCAACACATAAAAAACATGTTAAACTTTCAATAAGCGTATCAATTTTGATTTAATTGAGTAAAGGGCATTGTTTGTACAATCCTTGCTGATTGGGTGTTTATAAACAGCTGCAACAATCTTATAGGCTGTTGCCTCCGAGATGGGAAAAAATAAAAATAATCGAATTTTGCTTAAAACATTTTTTTTTAACAGTTTTGGTTGACTGGGCTCTAGGATTCACAATTAGTAAAGTGTTTAATTACGATAAAATAATATTTATCGCCTTAATAAAGCTTCCCCGTATTTAAATTTTTATCCTGCAGATTATTTATTTTTCCAAGCACTAAATATTGCTTAAGTCGACTAAATTTAGTTGCACTAAATATTTAGTTGTCTAATTTTATTTAACTAAAAAGTTAGTCAACTAATTTTAGTTAGACTAAAAAGTTAGTCGGGTAATTTTAGTTGGCTAAAAAGTTAGTCGGGTAATTTTAGTTATCTAAAAAGTTAGTCGATTAGTTTTAGTTAACTAAAAAGTTACCCGGGTATTTTTAGTTAACTAAAAAGTTAGTCAATTAATTTTAGTTAAATAAAAATTAGTCGACTAATTTTAGTTAACTAAAAAGTTAGTCGGGTAATTTAAGTTAACTAAAAATTTAGTTAAGTATTTTTAGTTGTACTAAAACTAACCTAACTACGACCCCCAATAATAATAAAAATCATGCCTTGTTGTAGTTCTGGTTATTTATTCAGGTTTCTTATGCTTATTATTAAATTTACTATATAGTTATAAATAATTATAGAGTTTTTTTAAGTAAAAAATTAAATTAGAGCAACGCAAAATTTTCTATTTACTAAATTATGAATGTTTATATGTTTTAATTGTTTTAAATAATTAATATTTTTTTGATGACAAAATTTAGTTGACTGTTTCTATAAAGTTAGTATCTTTGAAATGGTATAAAATTCATTGTTAAGTAGCATGTAGCAACCAGTAATACTGGTTAGGGTTGATCTGTTTCACTCATAATATTTATACTGGTTGTCTGATATTTATACTGGTAAATCATGCATGATGATAATTAAAACAACTATGATTTTCATACAAACATGCAACAAAATTCTGCATGTTGAAATACGCAAAAAAAAATTTTTGAGATTGGTCGTTGATTTAAGAAAAATCTGAAACTTCATTGCCGCGTAAAACTTATTCTGATGACACAACGATACCTCCAGCTTTGTCAACCACTATTTGTCCTTTTTTCTTAGACCATCTTTAAAAAGGATGTCATAAATTGGGACCCCCATTCTTTTTAGTCTTTTAAAACAAAATCTGTTGTTAATTTAAGTATATGTATTGAAATTTTTACATAAAATACATATTTCCGTTGCCATAACAACATGGTAAGTAAGGAAAAATGTCAAACTAGCTTCATCACCCTGGCAAAATTTGCAGGTTATGAAAGTGATATTTTTAGCTGATTTTTTTCCAACTTATAATAGAAAGATAGATCTATGCAATAAGCAGACAGTTTTTGCAAACAACTTTTCTGTCAGGTGGTAGGCCTTTTTAATTTTTTCAAACATTTTAAGCACAAAAATGATAAACTTTTCCTATAATTTCTTTAGTTTAAAAAACGTTTTCAAAAAGTTGTCTGTTTATTGCGTACATTTTTATGAGAGGAATACTTCCTGAAAGTTTCATTTAAATCGGTCGAGTGGATCTTAAAATACTCCTTCCAGGAGATTAAAAACACGCGTTCTGTGAAAAATGACAAATAAGTTAAAACTGTGATGAAAAATATTTAAAATAAACAAAATCACAAAAAATATTATATAAAAAGAGCACAATAATAATAATAGTTTTTAATAAGGAACACCAGCCCAATACACATTTCCTTCTTTATGTTTGATTTTTTATGTTTGCGGTTTGTTAAAATCTTCCTTAGTTTCTTAATGGTGTTTTGATTTTTATACTCTGACATTCTAATTCTTCTCTGATTCATATAATTGCATCCAGAAAGAGTATGCTGTCCTCGTATCATATTATTTCTTTCAAATATAAGGATACTAGACTTCATTATTAAAGTTATCAATCCAATATTAAAGGTTCCAATAGCATCATAGAGTCCAAATTTCAGTTGCGTAACCGAAATATACTTTGACACTGGTATTCTGGAACATATCATATCATTAAAACTTTAAACTTAGTTCTGTATTTTTCCATGAAGTAAAGGATTTAAGTAAGCATCTGATATTAATTCTACAGAAATGGGGTTTAACTTGAGTACAATTTTAATAGGAAGATCTGGTCCTGGTTTATACTCATTGGTTCCATAAACTTAATCCCAATTGTATTTATACCAACTGTCTTAACCTGTGGGACAATACGGGTAATGCTAATTATTTTTGTTTGAAGATGCTACATAAAATAAACTTGCTGAGGCTGAAGATTTCATACCTTTAAGATTGCCACAATTTTGACTGATGCAAATACCAAAATAATTTTGCTATCGATCAATCGATCAATATTGTTGCGGTCACCCCATTGTGTGAACTATATCCCATGTTCTATTAACAAAAATTCCAGTATCTAAGATCTCATTTGGAGATTTTTCTTCCTTGAGTTCTTGTACTGCTTCATTCATAGTTTTATTAGCAACAGTTTGTGCTGCGATTGTCGATTTCTAAACAATAACATTGTAGCTTTTATTTTATAATCCTTTCTAAATATTCTTAAGAGTGGTAAACCGATGTGGACTAGCTTAGCTTTGACCAAGTGTTCTAATGGCATACACCAATCTTTTATTAATATCATACCATACTACATTTTTTAATGTATCAAAGTCTAATTTAAAACCACAAATACTAGATAAAGATAAGTTTGATACATATCCTTTTTAAGACTTTTTAATCTCGTTAAACGACAACTGCGTCACAGTTGTCGTTAAACGAGAATAAAAGGTAAATGTACCTTTAAACGAGATTATAAACGTAAATGTACTTTTTATAGTTTAAAAAGAACAAAAAAAATAGTTAATACTGGTGTAAATAATGTTAATAGAAATGATGTAAATATTGTATATATTGAAAGTTAAAGTAAGTTCATCAAAAAAAAGAAACAGTGAAGCAAGTAATGGTACCAGAATGTGTGTGACCATCACAGTCTGTGATGGTCACAAATATTCTGGCACCCAAGTTTATCAAAAATGGAAGTTAAAAAATTCTATATCAATAACCCTGTAGCCACTGAGACACTTTGAGTTTGTACTTGGTACCATTACTTGCTTCACTTTTTTTTTTTTTTTTGATGCACTTACTTTACCCTTCAATATTTACAATATTTACATCATTTCTATTAACATTATTTACACCAATATTTACTAATTTTTCTTGCTTTTTTAAACTATAAAAGGTCCATTTACGTTTTCGAAGACTACTAGTAAAATATTTAACTCTAACACTATTATATTCTGTCATAGACTTGTCCATTTTTCTTTATTTTTGTAGAAAGCTTGTCTTAATTATGTTCAAGCTTGAAAAGATGACTTATCTTTGCACAATTTTTTAAATATGTGGTTTTAAAATATGGCTTTAGAGAAATAAGAAAGCATTTCTATCAAAACTGCAGAAAAACTCCGGAGAAAAGGCATCACTAGATGTGTTTTATTGACATATTTTATGTAAGTAGGGGAATTGCTAGGTAAAATTGAACTAAAGTGGTTTTCCAAAAATGATTTTATTAAAATAAAAAAAGTGATTATTATATACTGTTTTCATCATTTCCTTTCAAAAAAAATTTACTTTTAAATTATTTAAAAAAAAAAAAATTTTTTTGAGAGGTTTTTCTCCTTCAGAAAAAAAGTTTTCTTTATATGTTTATTTATCTAATATTATATAGATTTATATAATATTAGGTAAATTATATTAATTTATTTTAGTTTAATGGAATTTATTATAAATTGAAATGGATGTCATGTTTGTTTTGAATGGATGCAAAACCATATTATTTTTCATACACATACTGTATTGGCAAAATAACAATGATGTTCCATTAAATCATGCATGATGATAATTAAAACAACTATGATTTTCATACAAACATGCAGCAAAAATCTGCATGTTGAAATACACAAAAAAAATTTTTTAAGATTGGTCGTTGGTTTAAGAAAAATCTGAAACTTCATTGCCGCTTAAAACTTATTCTGATGACACAACGATACCTACAATTGAAATTAAATATGTTTTAAATGTAAATATATCGATTTATTTTGTCTGGAGATGGTTGACCAATCTTGGATACACACATAAAACTCAACCAATTTATAAAAGAAGAAACGATAATGATGTAAAAAATCTTCGCACTGAATAAGTTAGATGGTGTATCTCGCCAAATAATCGCTGTTGAAATATTGTTTTTATTGATGAACTTCCATTTAATTTACACATGTTTTGCAGTCATTTATAGGCAAGATGAGGAGTAACACCGAACCTGATCATTCGCTCTAGGCAGCGTAACCTTTCGATGATATTATATTCACTGCAAAGCTGTCAGTGTGTCAGTCAACACAGTTTTTTCTAAAATATATTGATAAAGTTGTACGATTTTGGGGATAGAGGAATAATTCACCCTGCTGATGAATAATGTCAGAATCCATCATAATGTTGAGATGAGGGCTCAGAATATTTGCCACCATATTCATTTTTGACTCCGTGTGAAGAGATTTTATCTTGAGAATAACATGCAAAGAAATACTTCCCAAGCTGGAAGAAATGAATTACTTACAAGAATACGTGAGGTATGCTTATCTATTCCTAATGTTAACTTATCAAACTATAACATACACTGCGTAAGCTTTTTTAAAACGTGTCTTAGATCAGATGACATACCTTGACAGTAATTAGAGAATAAACATTATATTCTAAATAAACTCAAATTTTGAGTAGTTTTAAAAAATTGCATAAAAAAATAAAAGATATATATAAAATTAAACCCTTTTTTTTTGATATAATATAAAATGTTGAAATTGCGCATGTATTAAATTTTTTAATTGAAAATCACAATTTTTCTGTGGTTTTCTATTAAAAAATACTGAAATAAATTTGTTTTAATTGATTTTTTACAATGAATGTCATGGTTGTTTAAAATACTTGTCATGTTTGTTTTTAATGGGTCTAAAAACCAGTATTTTATAACACTCTAATAAAATATACTTTTTCTCTTAATTTATTGTGATATCATATTGAGGTATAAAAAATAACATACTTAAGGTTCAAACTCAAGCTTATTTTTGCTTATAACATCTTGAACGTTTAGAAAAAGAATGAAACTACCTCATTTAGTGAGGGTGTAAACTTAACATAATTAAACGTATGATTTTGAATTTTAAATCCCGTCGACGTAAATTCAATGCAATAAAAAAAAAAAAAAAAAACTACTAATTTGTTGCACTCATATTTGGGGTCATTTTTGTTTACAGGCTCCAATATCTAAGAGTTTTATTTCTTAATATACGCACAAGTCGTTGCTACGCGACAGCTTAGATTATACGTATATTACTCAGTGGGGTAACAAAATATTTTGTGGTCAGTAGGCATACGTGGCCAAGGTGCCCGATTTCGGTTTCTGGAACTATAATTTTTATTTAAAAAAATTATAAATATTTTGAGGCTCCTAAACTTTGCGGCCCTTGGCCTAGTTGCTTAAGGTACAAGGTAAGTCATGCTTACACTGGCCTTGCGGTGGTTAAGCCACTGAAACTAAAATAACGATATTTACATAAATAGTCCTAAATATTTCCTCCCCATACAAAATTCTGTAATTCTTTACCAGTACCAGTGCCAGACTAAAACTTGTAGGGTTAGCAAAACAAAAAGCAAAACAAAAAGCAAAACAAAAACAAAACAAAGCAAAACAAAAAGCAAACAAAAACAAAAATTAATCTACTAATTACTCTTTAATATTATATTTAATATTCTAAACAATAGTCTGCTATTGTAAATGTATTTCTTATCTTTTAAGTTCTGAATTTACAAACGATTTTTTAAGTTTTATTATTTGAAATACTAATTACTAAAAATATTGTAAAATTTTATATTTTCAATTTTTATTAAAAAAAGTTATTGTAAATTCTTTTTGTAATATTAATACTTATATATCATCTTATTTTACTAATCAGTTCTTAAATATAAATACTCTTTGAATTACTAAATATTTTAAACGTTATATATTTTATTTTTTACATTTTGTTAAATATTTTATTTGATGAATATGCATTTTTTTGGGGGGGCTTAATGATAAGATGAATTTTGTCTTCTTCAAGCCCCAGTCATGTAAATATTTGTTTTTATAAATTACGAGTGTAAATTATTTTCAATCGGCAAATACAATACTGAAAAAAAGGGTTAGGTGATAATTTTAAACATATGGGCATTTTTCTTATCAAAGTGGCAAAATTAGTTCCCGTAATCCGGGAGTGGTTAAAACTTTCCCTTTTTAGTTTTTAAATAATATAAACTTTAATTCAAAACAATTGTAAAAAGAACTAACAATTATGCCAATTATGCCTTTCAAATTATCTACCCTTTCTGAGTCTTCCATGGGTATATGAACCTTTCATATCATATTACTCTAACAACCATGTTTCACATTTGTCTGAATTCTAGACTATTTAAAAGGTTGGCTGAGGACTGAATTCTTTAAAGACTAAAATATGGTTTTTATAACCAAAAATAATGAACCAGAACTAGGGAGGGTTTTAATCATGAGCAGAAGCCTATTACACTGGTCAACAAAATGGAACTTTTTGTTCTCATCATGAATAATAATATTTTTTTTCTGGATAAACTTTTCACTCTGATTCCAAATATCTATTTAGTTTTTCTCTATCACGTACACATTTTGAGATAAGGGCCCCTCTTATTTTGCAAATCTCAGGGAAATTAAGACATTTGCCTTAAGTTGTGTTGTATGAATTTGCATCTCCTACCCTATTACTATCTTAGATCCGTACAATTGTCAACAATTTAAGTTAGTATTAACATATACAATGTTTTATTCACTACAATTATCACAACATTTGCTTAAAATTGCCGGAGTATGACTTTCTTTTAAAGACTTTGTCTGGGTTGTCACGATAAAGCATCCAGCAGTAATCACCCATCATGCTTTCATTCCAAAACCCTTCATAGCGATTTTCCATCAGTTGAATATCTTGATGAAATCGTTCACCTTGTTCATCACTCACTGCACCCAGATTTTCAGGAAAAAATTTCAGACCGGAATGTAAAAAGTGCAACTTCAAAGACATGCGACATCCCATTTTTTGATATGAATCGAGCAGCTCTTGAATGCCTGCTTTATATTTAGGTGACTTGTGGTTACCAAGAAAGTTAGCACAAACCCAAGTAAAGGCTTGCCAAGCTTCCTTTTCTTCATCTGTGAGAGAATTTTTGAAATTAATATCTCGTAAAACCTCTCTAATTTGAGGTCCGACAAAAATTCCTTTTTTCAACTTTGCTGCACTCATTTTTGGAAATTTTTCCACCAAGTATTGAAATCCAGCTGAATTGGATTTCCCCATTGCTTTTACAAAGTTCTTCATCAAGCCAAGTTTGATATGTAGAGGAGGTAAAAAAATCTTATGTGGATCAACCAAAGGAATATTTTCAACACTATTTCTTCCTGGTTCATACTCATTCCTTTGGTCCCAATCTCGTTTCACGTAATGTTCTGTTACAGCGCGGCTGTCCCACAAACACAAGAAACAGCAGAATTTTGTGAAACCCATTTGCATGCCCATCAGCATGCCAATGACTTTTAGATCACCACAGATATTCCATTGATGACAGTTTTGTAGTTGATTGCTTCAAGGAGAATTTTCATGTTTTCATGCGTCTCACTCAGATGAACAGAATGAGCAATTGGTATGCAAGGCTTTTGATTTCCCTTATGCAACAACACAGCTTTCAAGCTTTGACGAATCAATGAACAAACGCCATTCAGAAGGTTCATGCGGCTGTGATAAACTTTCAAACAGTCCACTGATGTCATTGCAATAGCACAATGGGCCATCAACAGTAAAAAATGTAGCTTATTGAAGATTACGCTTTCGATAGTGCCATACTTTAACGTTTGTTGCATTCAAATTTTTTTGTTTAAGTCATGACCCCAAAAGTTCTGCTTTTTCCTTTGATAAGGTTAAGTCTCGGACCAAATCATTTAGTTCTTCTTGAGTGAATATTTCTTGCGTTTTTTCGACATCAGGTGAATAATCAAGGTCGGCAGTATCTTGATGTTCATCACAAGAGTCCACTTCCATCTCATCTTCGACACAATCTAATCCATCTATTGGAGGCATTGGAACTGGTAATTAGGGGTCATGTGGAACTGGCCTGATTGCCGAATCCAAATCTGGATAAACGATTTTGTGCCTATTTTTCGATGAAAATCCAGTTGTATTAACAATGCAAAAATAACAATCAGTTACATGATCCTTTGGCTTCCTCCATACCATGGGTATGGCAAATGAAAATGCAGTTTTCCGTTTGTGAAGCCAGTCACGCAATCCACTAGAATAGCTTGTGCAAATAATATGTGGAGCCCATATTTTATCTTGATCACCTAACGGACATCTAAAGTACAACTTGTAGATTTTTGACAAGTTCGCTGTAATTTTACGCCGCTGACCAGACACTGTAAATAAGCCGCATACATAACAAAAGGTGTCAGGCTGATTCTTGCATTTTCTTGGCATTTTGATAAATTATTTTATAAAGATTAAATCAAACCTGAAATGAAGAATAATATCATTAGTAATTGCCACTAATCTCAAAACATAAGGCAGGTCATCTCAAAAACTAGACGTGCTACAAAAAAACTGAGCACAGATTTGAAATCTGCACAAAAAACTGTATCTGGGCCACCCAAAATCGAGTCTAACGAAAAATTGTTGTTGTCCAGTGTTATTAATGTTTTTAAACTTTACATGGAAGAATTACCTAAAACCACGCACAACACAAGCGGCTGCAAACTAAATGTTAATTATTTAACTATACGTTATGGATTGCTGTTGTACAAGATCCTAAGTATTAAATGTTAAGTTGTTAATATTATTTACATTTTATCCCCTCGGTATTATCTTGTTTGATCTGAAAATTTCATAAATATATTTTTTTATCTAATATGTAAAAAAAACTATATGTAAATTAATACAATGTTCTATGTCATTTAATATAATATTTCATATCAAGTATAACGTTGTATTTATTTGTATATACTTTTTTTGTGTGATTAATTTGTATATTAGATAAAACATTTATTTATTATATTTTTAGATAAATTAAGGTAATATTGAGAGGACAATTTGCTAGCATTTTACTTTTATGTAATTCATTTTTCTATGTAAGTATTTTTTTGTAGTTATGGTATTATTATATCATGTATTGTAGTTTTAAAAATTAATTGCCTTTAAAATGTAAAAGTAAACAGCTGTTTTGATTTTTGTTTTTTTTTGTTTTTTTTACATGTAAAAGTTTTAAAAAGTAAAAAAAACAATGTAAAATTTTTTCATAAAAATATACATAACAAGGTAAACTTTTTTCATAAAAATAATTACTTGTATGGTAATGTAAATTAATTTTGAACGTTTAAAATTATTTTTGCAATTTACTTTTTTTATAAAAATTGCCATAAATAAAAAAATAAATAAATAGATAAATTAAAAGAAGGTATAGTCATTTCTGTATATAAATATTTTACACTTTATTATAACAAAGTGAAGAAAAAAATTTTTTACCATTAACTCGGCATTAAAGGTTGTCGGGAGTCACAAAAAGCGCCAATGGAATAAACTAAGACTTTATTAAATTCAGTAGTAACATTTCTGTGAAGTTCAGCGTTATTATATAATACAAACTTAGACAGCAACTAAATTATCATTTAAAAAAATAACATTACAAGTAAAAATTTTTCTTTTTAGATTGGTCCCATATGTGAATCAAATACTCCTTGCAGCAATTTGTATTGCCGAGATGTATGTTTGAAAGATAATCAACACAGTTACATCTGTATAGGTAATGATTAAAAATTAATTTACTTTGATGCCGCAATTTATAATGCTAAAAAGTTGTATTGAAAGTAGAAACATTTAAAATTATCAGTCCTTTAATACACTAGTTACAGATTAAAGTTGTTAACTGGATTTTGTAAAATTTTAGAAAACTTAAAATCTTTCCTAATTATATTAAGAGTCAGGACTTTCTTTTTTTGTACCAAATTTTAAAAAAGAAATAAATACGTTAATGTTTATTTTGCAAATGCTACTTACGTAATGTAACCTTTTAAGAGTTGAATTACGAAATAAAACTATTTTGCTACAAACGAAAAAAGCGCCTATGGAAATATATATATATATATATATATATATATATATATATATATATATATATATATATATATATATAATATATATATATATATATATATATATATATATATATATATATATATATATATATATATATATATATATATATATATAAATATATATATATATATATATATATATATATATATATATAAGAATATATAAATATATATATATATATATATATATATATTTATATATATATATATATATATATATATATATATATATATATATATATATATATATATATATATATATATATATATATATATATATATATATATATATATATATATATATATATATATACGTTGTATTGAGCACTCTTACTGGAAATAATAACATAATTCTTACAAAATATATATATATATATATATATATATATATATATATATATATATATATATATATATATATATATATATATATATATATATATATATATATATATTTATTTTATATATATATATTTAAATATATATATACTTAATTTAACTATATTTATATATATAAATAAATATATATATATATATATATATATATATTTATTTTATATATATATATTTAAATATATATATACTTAATTTAACTATATTTAAATATATATATCTTAATAATTTTTTAAATATATCTTAATAATTATTTAGTTTTCACTATATATATATATATATATATATATATATATATATATATATATATATATATATATATATATATATATATATATATATATATATATATATATATATATATATATATATATATATATATATATATATATATATATGTACCAAATTGTTTATAAAACATTTTATTTTCAGTACAAAAAAACAAATTAACGTGGCGTAATAAATATATTTAGAAACGCTATACTAATCAAAAACGTATAACTACGTAACTAAAACACTAATTACTATATGATAGTGACAAGTTTTAATCAAAAACTTTTTTAAATAAACCAAGACTTGCATAAATTAAACTTTTTAAAATTTCATTTAATTAATTAGAATTAATTAATGAAGATAACTTGAACAAAGATTACATTCGAATGCAGTTCATTGGAAAACAAAGCCTTTGTTAAAATCAAAATAAGACATAATTAAAGTGATGAATGCTAAAACTTAATTATATATTAAAATGTTTAAAAACAGCTATTACTTGTTTTTTAAGGGAACGATTTTATGTTTAGTCAGTTTCTTTTTTTTTTTTTTTTTGAGGTGCTCGTCTGAGTTTTCGCTTCTATTACTTTAATGACATCAAGTAAATAAAAAAAATTTTTTAAATATTTTTTTAAATACTTTTCTAAATTACTTTCCTTTATTGTTTCCCCTTGTATGGTTAGCCCTAGAAACAGTTTTAATATGTAGCATTATTGGAATTATACATCTGCTGAAAGTTTAAAGCTTTTTTGGAGCTTGTTGAAAAAATAATTGTAAGGCTTTGTAACAAAAAACAGCAACACCTCTGGAAACGATTTGAACATAGAACCTCTCCATGACTATAAAGACGCTAAAGGTTTCAAAGCTTTAACTAGTCTGAAAGGTTTTAATAAATTAATTGCAAGATTCAGTAAGAACTGACAACAGCCGAACAACAGGTGAAGTTAATTTACATTTTGTAATGGAACCAAATATCTTACTGAATTTTTTTATCTCTAAGTATTAATAGTAAATCCCCATTTCTCCAAAGCCAAAGACAACAACTCTGACCGAGTATAGAACCTTGTGGCGTGCCACAAGGTTCTATACTCGAATCTATTCTTTTTCTTATATATGTTAGTTATTTTCATAAAGCATCCAGCCTGAGAACAATAATGTTTGCCGACAACACAAATTTATTTTTATCGCACAGCAACGTTACTATATTATTTGAAGCTATGAACTTAGAACTTAATAAGGTTTCGAACTGGTTTAAATTAAACAAACTTTCAGCAAATATTTACAAAACTAACTGAATTCTATTTCACCCACTTTCCAAAAAAAAAAATACCATACGAAACGCCATTCATTGATAATATTCAAGCTAAAAGAGTAAAAACTACTCAGTTTTTAGGAATTTATATTGATGAAAATCTTACATGGAGACAACATATTGAAAATTTAAGGAACAAAATTTCAGAGAGGAATGGAATATTATACAAATCAAAAAGCTACTTAAACATGCGCACTTTAATGCTTTAATTATATTATTCACTTATACACTGCAATGTTAATTATGCAAATATTGCCTAGGGCATTACTAAAAAAGTAAACTAGAGCCTCTTTATCGTCATTAGAAACATAAAGCACGTTTAGGTAATTCTTGTGATAGACGAACTCATTCAATGCCTCTCTAAAGAAAAATGAATGTTTTAAACATATATCAGTTTAACGTATATAATATTCTTTGTTTTATGTTCAAATGTAAAACGACAGTATCCCCTTCTTTTCATCTTTTCATAGTTTATTTATAACAAAACAAAAAAATAAATATAATTTACAAAATAATGTTTTTTTGATGCAACCATTTTTGAAAACTAATCACTGTAAATTTTGCGTATCATTTCGAGGAACGTATCTTTGGAACAAAAGTGTCTTTAACAACTTTGATTTTTCTTTTGAATGGAATTACATATCTTTTAAAAAAAAGTGGAAAGAAGTAGTTCTTGAAATTGACAATATACAAATGTACTTTTAAATCTTTTGAAATTTTTTTTATATTATTTATATCGGTTTATATGATTTGAATAGTATGACTTTTCTTAAAGTATCTAGTTATATCTCTTTAACTATCTTTAAGAAATATTTTGTGAACTTTATATTTTTTTGTAGTTTTTTTAATTTAAATCTTGTTATTCTTTTATTATTGCATAACACTTTTTTATTTACTACGTAAAATATTTAACTTGTAAAAATGCAACAACGTCTTTTTACCGCGGTAGTTGACGACATGACCTTACGTGCTTCTACGAATTTCCGCGTTCTTTTTATACATATATTAAATATCTTCACTTGTAATTGTTTATATTTTTTTATTTTATCTTGTAAATTTTATAAAATATTAACGTTATGTTTTAAAATGTAATAAAGAACAAAAAAAAAAAAAAAAAAAAAAACAAGCAACCAAAAAAACGGCACTAGAAATATAAATATATATATATATATATATATATATATATATATATATATATATATATATATATATATATATATATATATATATATATATATATATATATATATATATATATATTACATAGGTATAGTATGCACGAGAGAATAAAATCGAATAATTTGTTAAATATAAAATAATCAACAAAACAACTCAAAAATAATACATTTTAAATATAGAATTTGACTAGATATTATTCTTCTTAAGATTCTTTTCTTGGTGTTAAGCCATATATCTTTTATGTCATAGAATATACTTTGACAACTTTTATGTCATAGAATATACTTTGACAACAAAATAGCTTTGCTTAACATAATATAACAATATATGTTATACTGTTGTATAACATTTTTTATCTTCGCGTAGACAACGTATATTGTTATTGTATATACAATGACAAAATTGTTTGTTTACATGTATATTTTAATATAACATAATCCTTGAAATGAATAAAATTATTTCAAAAACTATAAATATAGCTTTGATATAGTTTTCTATATAAAATAATAAATTAGGTCCGTTTTTTTTATTTATTTAATAATTTATATATTCTAAAAATATAAATATAAGTTGGGTTATTGAAAAAAATTAGATAAACAATCTAATAATGTAATAACAGTTAAATTAATTTTTAAAAACTTCTATATAATTCAAACAACTCTTCATGATACCGTTAGATATAATTGTTTTGATGTCAATGTTGTTTCGAGATTTAAAAAAAAACGTCGCACGCATTTAACAAATACCAAATAAAATATCTACAAAAACCAAAAAACAAAGTATTTTTGACCAATATTAAAAAAAAGAAATTTTTATTTTAGTTTAGATGTTTGCTTGATCTGTATTTTTTTATAAAAAGGCACACTTACGAATGTAATTCAGATGTCTTTTCAACGTTCCACGTAGACCAAAAAAAAATTTTTGAATACTAAATGGGTCTAGGACGTTCAGAATGTGCGTTTCTGACGGTGATAAAGAAATCGTAACTATTTAAATTTTAAACAATGAAAAAAAAAAATCTATTAAGCTGCTGTTATAGACCACCTGATGGTACGTCTGAAAATCTTAGTTTCTTTTTACAGCAAAATGTCATTCACAAAGGAGCAAAGAAAACAAAATTACTTTTATAATTGGAGATTTCAACATGAACGTTTTATTTTATAATAAAGATAAAAAAGTAAAAAAGTCTTATGATGAAATATTTATGGCAGGATCTTTTCCTTTAAATAATTGCCCTACTAGATCAACCAAAATTTCAATTACGTTGATTTATAATATTTTTACAACAGATATTTATAATTGGAAATTACAAAAAGGAATTATTAAAACCAACATATCCAATCATTTTCCCATTTATCTAACAATCCATAATGTATCCTCTAATAACCCTGAATTGACAAAATATAATAAAAAAAACGTGTCCTCAAAGAGAGTAGTATAAAATCATTCCAATATCAATTATCACTTATACATTAGAAACATATTAACGTTAAT